CCAGGACCAGGTCCAGCAAGGCATTTCCCCTGGTGGGACCTTGCACCTCCTGGATTAGGTGGAAGTCCTGTATCTCAGCAAGGAACCTACATGACCAGTCAGACTGCTCCTCCCAGCAAATGTCCAGGTAGTTTAGATCACCCATGGTGACCACATCCCTTGACTTAACTGCCTCTACGAGCTGACCCAAGAATTCCCGGTCCAGCTCTTCCCCCTGGTTGGGTGGTTTGTAGTAGACCCCCACAATTAAGTTACCCAATTCCTTTCAACACCTTTCTTTAAGGTAAGATTCCTATTTTTGAATTCTTTTTTCTTAACCAGATATGAAAATCTCTAGTAATTAATGACTGGACAAGGAACTGTGCACCACAATGCCAGGCTGGTTTGGGCAGTACAAACTATGCTGGAAACGCAGGATTAGTAAACTCCAAAACTTTTATTTCTAAAAGATGAAATCAAAATTCTGTTGCACTTGATAATCATAGGTGACATGAAGGCTTTGTGTTCACTCTAGTTTGTATTTTGATTTCATAATATCTGAACAATTTTCATCTTTTACAGAGTATGCATTTCTTTCGCATATTCTGGTTCTATAAGGATTCAGGCAGGCTAAATGTAGTACCTCTGGGCTCCTATAGATATGCAAGGAGCCAGCTCCAACGTGCTGCAGCATGGAAATAAAAGTAAGATGTTGACTACCTGAAAGGAGGGGAAAGGACCCCGGCAGCATGAAGACCGCATCATGGCACCATCAAAGGGACTTGGTAAAAGCACCCTTTGGTGTTGCCTTGAAGTGGTGATGGAGACGGGGAGATGGAGGGTATTTCTTTGACTTGTGTGTTAGGTTTCTTTTGAATTGTGTTGTGTTTCTGGGAAGAGGGGAAGGAGTTCATGTGGGATATTTCGGAGGGGAGTGGGGGCAAGAGCCACAGACCCTGTGTCAGAGTCAGGGCAGCTTTGGGGAGATGCTGGGGGTGTGTGGGGGGGATCTCCCTGAGGGTGAGGGACAGAAGAGGTTTCTTGTCCCTGGATGTGAGTGACAGTAGGGACACGTGGTTGGGATTGGCGGGAGGGTCTGATTCTGTCGGAGCTGAGGCAGGGAGATGTGGTTGGGGGGAGTTGGAGTCTGGGGGCTGTTTGGAGCATGCCGTCTGCAGCTTGTCTGGAGCCCTGAGCCTTTTGGATAGAGCAAGGCCTACATCTAAAAAATAAATCACACCACCAATAACAGAATTAAAATTGTGATGAACAGCTTTGGGTTTGGATGCAATTCCTTTTGTTGTTAATCCTCAACAATATAGACACAAGCTATGGGAGTATACAGCACACTTTTCTTTGTCCCTTCTTATTTTATAGGATTTCCCTTCAATGACACCCAAAGGACAAAGACTGAAAAGACCAGAGCATTTGTTAGCATGGGTATAATTAAGAGAAATCTGAACCCGTCGTGCTTGTGAATGGTTAACTTGAAAAATCACAAGCATGAAAGAGAGCAGGGTCATGGCTGCAGATGCTATTGCACGCAGATAATCCCCACACGTCCAGTCAGCAACATCTGGATGCAGTGATTTCCAGAGGAAGGTGAACAGACTGTCCTCAAGCCACATTGTGCAACTGGAAGAAATAAAAAGGCCTTCCTGACTCCTTCAAGTGCCCAGCTGAAGCCCTGAAGCATGAGATT